TTAGCGACACAGATCGCCAACACGCTCCTACCCGCAGCAAAATACTTCGAAAGACAATATACTGCGCTAGACTGGAAATCCAAATATCTAAAAACGAGCTATAAATAGAACTTCTCAGCAGAACCTCAATATATGTTAAAACATTACGATACACAAAACAACAATATATCTCAAGTGCCCAATATCAGTGTATAAATATTTATTCTTACGGGCCACCCGGCTGAGCCACGCAGTGACCTATGCCAGCTGCCAGGGGTCGTCATTATTTGGACCTGGAGTCATGTCACCTCATGTAGCGCCACCATGGGCACGCTCTGAATTATTAAAAGCAGCCTAAACGAACGGGGCCTCCAGGGGCTCCAGCATAACGCCTCGAAGAGCATGCCCCATTGCCTGCCCATCAGCCATACGTGCCGGGCCTCCACGAGCGCACGGTCTTGCGGCTAACGTCCGAATCCCAGAAAAACAATGCTCCAAATCGATCTTGCACTTAACGCGCTTACCCTTAGCACTCACCTTAACGGCGTACTAAAACTACTTCTCGAGCTCGGTACGGATAGAATCCGGCAAGAGCTTCTCGAATCAACCAAAAACCATCTTAAATACAAACAAAACCGAACTAATTTCGAATCGCAAAACTCTCGCAAAACAATCGCAATATTTCAACCAAAATAACAATAAAATGTCTAAATAACATATTTTTCTAATCTGCCAAAAAATGTCCTTCATAAATCTAAAAAACCATATATTCGAATCTCTTAAACTAGGACAAAATCGGCCAATTTCACCATCTCATCATTCCTTTTTTAAAATTAAACCAAAAAACACCTCGAAAAAGAGAATTTAATTCCAAGTTTAAAATAAACCGTTCCGCTCCTCTAATTTTTCTTATTCTTCCATAAATCGTTCAACCAAAATAAACCCATAAAATATATCCAAAAATCGGACCAAAACAACAACCAACAAATTTTCGGATTTCATATCCCAATAACATATGTCAACAACCTCTATCATTGAATTGCTCAAATTTAATATAATTCAGCATATTTATAATTTAAAATATATTATTTAAAAATTGGTTTTTTAATATTATGTATACCTAAACACAATATCCTCCAATTTCCACCAAAATTATCCTAACTCTCTACGCAATATAACAATCGGGCCCTAAACTTTATAAATTCATAACAATTAATCTAAATAATATCAACAAAATTTCATAAATTCATAAAGGTTAATCTATACAATATCAAATTCAAACAAACAAACAAACACATAAACAAACAAACCGAAAAACAAAAACACTAACACAAACAAAGATAAAAACAAGAACAAAAACAAAAGACAAAAACAAAGACAACCACAAACACAAACACACAAACACACAGACACAAACACACAGACACAAACACACAAACACACAAACACAGACACAGACACACACACACAGACACACAGACACACAAAGACAGATACAGACAGACACAAAGAAACAAATACCAGAGACAAAGAGAGAGAGAGAAGGACACTAACAGAGAGACAGACACAAAAAGAGACACACATCTCCGGAGGTTAGGGGCAACTTCAACATAATCCAGGGGTTCAATCCCGAAACCACCAATCCAAACCAGCAATTTGGGGTAAATTAAAGCGGGTGCGAAAAAAAGGGCCGAGGTCTCAGGGGCCAAGGTCCAGGCATGCTGCCTTAGCCTCAAAAGATCCATCCACACACATAATTGTTGCAAGTGAAACGAAAACGCGATCGACCAGAAAACATCCTAGGTGCAAGCAAAAACACTATTGGTTGCAACAATCGGCCGCGACTCACAGCTTCTCGCATCGCCAAACTCTCGGAAAATGGGTCAAGATTTCAGCCAAAATTGCTATGGACAGGCAGATATATGCCCCGACTCTTTATCTAGAAGATACAACGGCTTCGTTCAAAGCCCGAACCATTTTTCCGAAATATCCCGGATATCTTAATAATCGTATTCCGGACCATTTTTCTAAAATATTCCGGATATTTCGACAATAATATTTCCCGAAAATGGTCCCCGAAATCGTTTTTCCCGAAATATTCGGAATCTTTCGAGAAAATGGTAGGTGGCTACCGAAATATTATTTCGCGAAATTGGTGCCTACAAAAAATGAAGCCGCTACATCTACCGAATTATAGCCGGGGTAACCCGGACAAATTTAAGTAAGCAGTTCGTAGGAAAAAAGAAACGGTTATATCTTCCAGGGACAATCCTTACCAATTTTCCGATTTTTTTTCGGAAAAACGTCCGGAAAAATACGCGTAAATGCGACGAACAAGTTTCACGGTTTCATTTTATAGAATAAATATATATTAAAAAGAATTCTCTCTCTTTCTTTCCTTTTTTTTCTCTTTTTTTTATTTTGATTCTGTGTTTTGTTCTTGATTCTTTTTTTTTCCATTTTTTTTGTTTGTTAAATCTTCGTGTTCTTTTTCTTTTTTTCCTTTTTTTTATATGTTTCTTGTGTTTTGAGTTTTTCTTGGTTTTGTTATTAATGAAAAGAAACAGAAAGAGAGAAGAAAAAGAAAAGGAGAAAGAGAGTGAAAAAGAAAAAGAAAGAGAGAAAAAGAAAGAACAAATATAAAATAAAAAAAGAGAGAAAGAGAAAGAGACCTGTAACAAGAAGAATTACTACTAACGAAAATGCCCGAGATACAGACAATATATTCCCAAGAATATCTCCGGCCCCGGGAAAGACTAAAAAAGATAAAAAGGAAAAACAAAAAGGAGAGATAGAGAAAGAAAGAGAGAGAAAAAGAAAAAGAAAAAAAGAGGAAAAATAAAGAAAAAAATGGACACAAAAATGGAAAAAAAAGAAGAAAAAAAAAAGAGAAAAAGAAAAAGGGAAAAAAAGCAAAGAGAAAAAAAAAGAGAGAGAGAAAGAGAGAAAGAGAGAAAGAGAGAGAGAAAGAGAGAAAAAAAAAGAGAAAGAAAGAAACAAAAAAAGATAAAAAGAGAAAGAGAGAGAAAAGAGAGAAAGACGGAGAAGCAAGCAAATCAGTAAGAAGCATAGTAAAAGCAATCAAAAACGAAGAAAAACAGAACGAAAGGAACAAAACGGAACTTAAAAAGGGGAGATGCGGCACGCGGCAACGCGGAAATGTGTCATGTTTATGAACCGACCCGCAGAAACAAGCGCAGACAGATAGAAAGATAAAAGCAATGACAAAGATAGATAGACATTACCAAATAGACAAACGCGGACACGCGGAAATAGACAAAGAGACACAAAAAAACGCAAAGAAATAGAGACGAACGACAGACACGGACACATAGAGACAAACAGAGACAAACCGAGACAACCCGAGAGACAGAGAGACACAGACAGACAGATAGAGACAGAGAGGCGCAAACACCAAAAAGAAACAAATTGGGATACACAAAGAAAATAGACAGAGAAAGACAGAGATTACGAAAGAGATAAATACGGACACACGGAAACAGATTCGGAGACACAGAGAGAGGCAAGGATACGGAGACACCCGGCACGAAATTTTCGAGAAATTTCGATTCGGACAGGCCCCCAAATTTCCACGAAATTTGGCCCGGTATTTTTTTCGAAAAGCCGCCAAATTCTGAAATTTGCGGGAGTAACGTCCGGAAACCTAAGAGCCGCGTCGCCGGAAGCGACCCAAAATTCTGGCAAATTTTGCAAAGTTGTTAAGAATCCCGCCGACATTTCGGGAATTTTCTTATAAACCGGTACGGCCTCGAAGTCCGTTACAGCGGTACTCCGGCCGAATCGTAGTGCTTGCGGCGAGCGGCTACGCTTGTCCCGGTCTTTTCTCCGCGGCACAAGCTCCCGCCTCTTCGCGGCCCGGAAGGCCCCGAAATTTTGGAAAAAAAGAAACAAAAGGAAATATCCTATATTATATGTTTTTGTTTTTTTTGCTTTGTTTATTCTATCTTTCTTTCAAAATATATATATATATATATATTAAATTTAGAAGAAAAAAAAGAAGAACAAAAAACATTATTTCCAATAATACTTCATAACAATGCCAAACAACAAAAATCAACCAAACAACAAAACCAAATAACAAAACCAAACAACAAAACAAAACAACAAAACAAGGCAACAAAACAAATACATTTATCAAAACAAACAAATAAAACAAATATATAAACAAATAAAAACAACCAAAAATAGAAATAAACAAACAAATCAACCACAAACAAAGCAAACAAATAAATATACTAACAAATAAATAATAACAATCAAACAAAATAAATAAAAGCAAAGTTATATTAATATACAAATAATAATATATAAATAAATACATACAAATAAACAAAAATAAATAACAACAAACAAATGACAACAAACAAACAACAACAAAAAACAAACGACAAACAAACATACAAAACAAAAAACATACAAACACATATAACCAAAAAATATATAATACAACAAAAAACACAGAATAAATACAAAAAACACACACATATACAAAACCAACACAAACACACACACACACACACACACAAAAACACAAAGACAAACAAAAACAAAACACCAAAAAACCCAAAAACAAACAAAAAGAAAAACAACCAAACTAAAAAACAAACAAACAAAGAAATATATTTATTTAAAAAACAAAAATAACAACATATATAAACACATATAAAAATAGAACAACAAAATAATAAGAAGAAAATAAATAAATAATAAAGACACCATATAACATTTCGAGAAATTTAAAATCAGAAATCAATCCCCAAAATTCAAAAAACATTAACCCAACCATTCACCACAAACCTACAATATACAACAAATACGTTCCCAAAACCACACCAATTCATAAACGAATTTAATTTGCTACCATTTTCGAATACATGTCAACAATAATTAATTAAAACAAAAAAAAAAAAGTAAAGGGCGAACAATCCAAAAATGCATAAAACCTGTCAAGTATATACAAAGTCACATCAAAACTTACATTCGTCCTTACTAGTCAATACATTCGACAACCATATATAGTGTTGCTGTTTCTAGAATTCTCAAGCGCTGCAGCCAGAAAGACCTGGATGAATCATATTCAACACATCTTAGGTCTCACAAGGTCAAACATGAAGGTTCCGAGCGCCCAACGGTATGGTTGCCCATCATCTTCGCAAGCAACGGCTGTGGGCGCAGATATCTGTCTGTAGCCTGCTGCGCAAGACACCTCAGGTTTACATTTAGGACATTGGTCATTTGCAAAGCACATGCAGGTTGCATCCACAATCATTCTCGCTGCATTCTCGGTTCTTCGTAGTCTTCATCAGTTGCAAAATCCGACCCTGCAAATGACAACTCAAGGAACCCCAAAAAAGTGAAATACACTTGTGAATCAAACAAGCAGACCCTTCAACCAGTACAAAGAATGCAGGCAAAGCGTCGTCCACCTTAAACTGGCTTTTCTGCAGATTGCCCTCAGTCACCTTGTAGGCTGCAGCGTCTTTTGGCGCTACGCAAACTTTTGCTCTGACGCATCCAGAGAGCTGATAGGGTTGCGCATGAGCTGTGCATGCTGTAGCTGATGCTGTACCTTCGAAGCCCGCGGCACATTGGACGGCTACATCGAAAGAGCCCATCTTCAAGCTGGTCTCCGTGACTTGGTAGCCAGTCACGTCAGAAGATGCGACACACACCTTTACTGGCTCACAGCCAGAAAGAGTGTATGGCTTGCCATCTCCACCACAAGCTGTCACTGTCGGTGCGCCTTCATAACCCTTTGCACAGGTAGCTGTCACGCTGAACTTGTTCATCGTCAGGTCAGCCTCAACAACGGTGTAGCCAGCTGCATCAGGATTAGCCAAGCAAATCTTCACTGGCTCACAGCCAGAAATAGTGTATGGCTTGCCATCCTCCGCACAAGCTTTCACTGTCGTTGTGCCTTCATAACCCTTTGCACAGGTAGCTGTCACGCTGAACTTGTTGATCGTCAGGTCAGACTCAACAACGGTGTAGCCTTTTGCATCGGCATGCGCCAAGCAGGTTTTCACTGGCTCGCAGCCTGAAAGAGTGTATGGCTTGCCATCCTCCGCGCAAACTGTCACTGTCGTTGTGCCTTCATAACCCTTTGCACAGGTAGCTGTCACGCTGAACTTGTTGATCGACAGGTCAGACTCAACAACGGTGTAGCCAGCTGCATCAGGATTAGCCAAGCAAATCTTGACTGGCTCACAGCCAGAAATAGTGTATGGCGCGCCATCCTCCGCACAAGCTTTCACTGTCGCTGTGCCTTCATAGCCCTTTTCACAGGTAGCTGTCACGCTGAACTTGCTGATGGTCAGGTCAGACTCATCAATGGCGTAGCCTTTTGCATCGGCATGCGCCAAGCAGGTTTTCACTGGCTCGCAGCCTGAAAGAGTGTATGGCTTGCCATCCTCCGCGCAAACTGTCACTGTCGGTGTGCCTTCATAACCCTTTGCACAGGTAGCTGTCACGCTGAACTTGCTGGCAAGCAAATTAGACTCAACGACGGAGTATTCAGTTGTAGCAGAAGGCCCCACACAATTTCTTTCTGGCTCGCAGCCAGAAAGGGTGTACGGGGTTTCATGACCACCACACACTGCAACAGCTGCAGTGCCATGGTATCCCTTGGCACATTGGACAGCAACACTGAAGCTTGATCGCGTTAGGTCAGATTCTGTCACAATGTAGGGCTTGGTGGTGTCAGTAGTTGGTGCAACACACACCTTCACTGGTTCGCAGCCAGAGAGAGTGTATGGCCTCATGTCCTCAACGCAAGCTGTTACTTTTGGCGTGCCTTCATATCCCTTTGCACAGGTAGCTGTCACGCTGAACTTGCTGACAGTCAGATCAGACTCAACAATGGTGTAGCCAGCTGAATCCGCAGTCGCTAAGCAAGTTTTGATCGGCTCGCAGCCGGAAAGGGTATATGGGGCTTTATGACCAGCACACACTGAAACAGCTGCTGTGCCTTCGTATCCCTTTGCACATTGGGCAGCAACACTGAAGCTTGATCGCTTTAGATCAGATTCTGTCACAATATAGGATTCCGCAGCATTTGGCGGAAGACATACCTTCGCTAGCTCGCAACCAGAAAGACTGTACGGCTTCATATCTGCAACGCAAGCTGTCACTGTTGCCGTGCCTTCATATCCCTTTGCACAGGTAGCTGTCACGCTGAACTTGCTGGCAATCAGATTAGACTCAAGAATAGTGTAGCCAGTTGAATCAGCATTCCCCAAGCAAGTTCTTTGTGGCTCGCAGCCAGAAAGCTCATATGGTGCCTTATGGGCAGTGCAAACCGCCACAGTGGCTGTGCCAAAATATCCGTCTGCACACTTGGCAGTAACACTGAAGCCTTTTTGCTTGAGAACAGACTCCGTCACAACGTAGGGCTTGGCGTCGGTAGTTGGTGCAAGACACACCTTCACTTGTTCACAACCAGACACTGTGTATGCCTCTGCGTCATCGGCGCAGGCAGTTACTGTTGGTGTGCCTTCATATCCCTCTTCGCACTGAGCTTTCACGCTGAACTTGCTGAGGGTGAGATCAGTTTCTGTGAGGACGTAGCCTGCTGACTTCCCCTTGGCATGGCGAATGCAATGCGCAATCTGCATCCAAGCCTGCGACTAGTTGAGACCAGCTGCAGCTGACTTGCAGGACTTGGCCGGCTCGCAACCAGTCAGGCTGTAAGATTCCTGAGGACAAGTCTAGCAGCAGGCAAGGGGCATGTCAGGGACACAAAGAACCTGTTTTCATGGGAAAGTTGTAAAGTCCATCATCATTGAAATCGATCCTGGCATATTTCGCTGATCGTTGCGCAACGCTGGGCGCATGCCACGGTGTCATGCCAGTGGCGGCGTTTAGATTTGTTCTTGCTATCAAAAGGCCAAGCCCTGCCCATCATAATCAGTAAAGGCTCCATGAGCGGGCATTTCAATGTTTCACAGGAAGAATGTGTTTTCGAGACAGCAACAAACCTTTCGCACGGGGAACGTTTGTTTCTCCATTGGGGACTAACATCTCCGCACGTGCGACAAAAGCGTAGAAGCATGACCTCAGAAGAAGCATGTGTTTTGGACGGCCATAAGTTTGTTTAGCGTCTTGAAACAAACGCTAGGCCAAGCCAATAGTTAGTTGCTTCAAAACTAACTAGCTAGTGACTTGCTCCCCATTGCAATAGAGGCACCACTAACAAGACCAAAGCTACAACTACGGGCTCCATAAAAGATATGCGCCAAAACAGCACCTTCCACAGACCTAGACACTACACAACCAAATACGACAATACTGTTCACAGCTACAAGAAGACTACGATGAGTGCCACGAACACCACGAAGCAGACAAGGCAAGACTACGACAACCCCAACAATCAACTCCACAACAAATAGCAGAACACAACCTGACACACTTACAATACCGAAACTGGTGCCCAATTTGCGCACAAAACAAAGGACGCCAAGACAACTACAAGAAGCAGCAGTCACGACAACCCATCATTCAAGTAGATTTTGCTTACATCAAATCACAACAGAATCCGAAAACCACACCAGTCTTAGCTGCAGTTGATGTAACTACACAACTGTTACTTAACTGTGAAGGCGTTATTGGTTCCGGACAAGCGTGTTCAACAACGTACAAGCATTCATCTGTGAATACTGCGAATCATCCAAAGTGCCATAGACATCGTGTAGATTGTTTGGTTCGTGTTTCATTCCTTTTCGTTGTTGTGTTTCGTCAAAACCTTCGTTATCCGTCTTCTGAAGCGTCGTTGTTGTTGGAGGCAGTTACTGATGCTCCGTTGGATAGTCTTACTGCGTTGATTCTTTGTCGTAGTGGTGGTGGTTCTTTGGTGATTTCTTCCGTTGATCTGACGTGGTAGCTTTTCAGGTTTCTGTGCTTTGGCTGGTTGCATTACTTCTTCCGGAGCCATACGTTGTAGCGCTTGTCGAAGTGGTGGTGCTGGTTGTGGTGGATGTTGCCGTCCGGTCGGCGAAGCAGCCGTAGGACCGTCTCGTGGAGGTGACGTTGCGCGCTGTTGTTTTGTTGCCGGTTCTGCGGCGATGTCGTCTGAAACGTTGGTTTGTTGTTCGGTGTCTTGCGTAGCTCGTCTCTTTTGTTCGGACGATTGAAGTTGCGTACCCAGTAGGGACGTTGACCTTGCTTAGTAGTGCTAGGTCGTGTTTGAAGTCTGGCTGTAGTCGTCGTACTGTTCTCGCTTTTACTACTCCGACGTCAAATTGCGCGTTTACTCTTTCTTCCCCAGCGGCGATCGAGCCTTGTGTAGCCGTCCGCCTGGGCAACGTAGCGGTTCACTGTCCATGCTGCGCGTCGTACTCTCCAAGGTAGTAGACAGTGCTTTGTTGACATTGTCATGCTGTAATTTCTTTCAACTTGTGCTTTGACGACGCGTGTTTGTCCAAGAAGCGTTCTGTGTAGTCGCTCAACGCTTCCTTGACTGCTGCTGATGTCGGAAGGTGAACGTCGCACAGTCATTGAGGCGTGCCCTAGTCTTTCACGCACTGGTTAGGGCTTTGCGCAGGGCTTAGCAGGGAGCTAACCTATATGTCCACTTCAGGACCCGGGCCGTTTGGGAAAATGTGTTTTTAGGGCCGGCGAAGCCGGTTAGCGGAAGTTTCACAAAATCTAAACTATAGTTCTCTTTATTGATTTCTTTCTTGTCTTGGTCTCGTCTTGCTTATGTCTCTCTCTTTCTCTTTCTTGGCATCTTCCTTTCTTTATTCCTTTGTTTGTTTGTGGATTCCCTTGATTTGTTTCTTTGTGGGTTCCCTTGTTTGTTTCCTTCTTGCTTTCTAGGTATCCAATCTATCCATCTATCTACCTATCTATCTACCTATCTATCTGTCTGCTGCCTATCTATCCCTCCATCCAACCATCTGCCACTTTCTCTCTCTGTCCATTTGTACATCTCCCAATCTCTCTATCTATACCTACCAACCGACCTAATCGATGCATATCTACTTATCCATGTACACATTTGTCCATCTACCTACCTACCTCCCAAATCTAACTATCTACCTACCTATCTACCTATCTACCTACCTATCTATCCAATATGTATATATATATAGATACATATACATATACATATATATATATATGTATATGTATATTAGGTTTGCTTTCTCTTATCTATCGATCTATCTACCGCTCTATGTGCATTTATCTCTCTATTTAACCTATGCGCCTACCTCACTCCCCATCTCCGGATCTCTCGATCTGTATCTCAAATATATCTACCTATCTATCTATCTATCTATACATACATACATACATTTATCTATCGGTATTTCCCCTATCTATTCATATACATGTATATATATATATATATATATCGATCTATCTGTCTGTCTCTCTATCTTTCTATCTACTCTGGCCTTTCTCCGTATTCATCCTATCTTTCTATGTATCCATCTGTCTATACGTCGCTCTCTCTCTTTACCGCCACAAGATCTATCTATCTATCTATCTATCTCTATCTATCTATCTATCTATCTATCTCCACAAGGTCTGTGCCTGACCTTGCGAAGGTGCTGCACCTGCCACGAAATCTGCGCTTGACCTTTCGAAGGCGATGCGCCTGCCACACAATCCACACCTGCCCTTGCGAAAGTGATTGACTGTGCGCTCCCTTTCTTGTCGCAGAGTTCGGAATAGTCCAACACGAGGCAAAGAAATCAGGTGGGAAGAAAGAGGCATAGCCAGGAGGTAGAGAAAGAGAGAGGCAGAGAGAGAGGGGGAGAGGGAGGGGCATAGAGAGGGATAGAGAGAAAAAGGCAGAGAGAGGATGGGGAGGAGAAGGCGAGACGGACCAGGAGGAGGGAACAAAGGGGGGAAGGGAAGAGAGAGAGAGAGGAAAAAGGAGAAAAGAGAGAGGCCAATGTTGGCGGAGTGTGCTGGAGGCTGAAAGTTTTCAAAGAATAGCAAGAAGTAATAAATAAAGAGAATGGATTGCCCCAAACGGGAGTCATGCTCAAACATGATTGGGAACCAGGCAATCCACAGTGCCGTGTCCCGACGCCAGTTTGGCTTCTGGCATACCGCAGCTTTGAACATCTGTGGAATTCGGTCAAGTCGCCTGATCGCGTGTACAAGCAGTGGCTGACGGAGTCCCTTCGTAACCCGCACTGCACCTGGCTGTCGGCGTGGGCTACTAGTTGCCTGTATCTCAAACCCGGCCTGACAGTCACATCGAAGCTGAACTTACGGAGATCGTGCTCCTCCACGACGAAACCTTTATAGCCTCAGTTGTGGCCAAACCGCCACTATGAGACTTGGTGAGAGCCTCCACACTCACCTACCTGATCGCAATGATTGAACCAAGGAGCGGCTTGCATCACGTGGGGCCAGGCACGCGGCCTCAGCTATGTGTCAAACGGCAAAACAGCAAGTGGCGAATCATTCAAAAAACCGCACTTGCCAACAAGCGTTGACTAGAAAAAGCCAGCGCAGCCCAATGACAAACATTGTGGTCGTGGATGTCGAAGTGGTCGTGGTGCTGGTAATGGTCGAGGTAGCAGTCGTGCTTGTGCTGGTAGTTGTTGTTGTTTTAGTAGTCGTTGTGCTCGTTAACGTTGATGTTGCTGTGGTAGTAGTAGTCGTTGAGGTTGACGTCGTTGTTGTGCTTGTGTGGGTGGATGTTGACGTGGTTGTTGTGCTAGTGATGGTGGATGTTGACGTGACTGTTGTGCTAGTGATGGTGGATGTTGACGTTGTTGTTGTGCTAGTGATGGTGGATGTCGAGGTCGTGCTTGTGCTTGTTGAAGTTGTTGTGGTGCTTGTGCTTGTGGAAGTGGTAGTGCCTGTAGATGTTGATGTGGTACTTGTAGTAGTGCCTGTTATGGTTGTCGTTGTGCTAGTTGATGTAGTTGTGGTGCTGGTAATTGTAGTTGTGCCGGTTGAGGTACTTGTGACAGTGAGGGTGGAAGTGGTGGTCAACGTTGAGGTAGAAGTAGTTGTTGTGCTGGCAGTGATCGTTGAGGTTGACGTAGTGCTGATTGTGGTGGTCGTGGTGGACGTGCTTGTAGTAGTGGTTGAGGTACTCGTGCTGGTCTGGGTGACCGTGCTTGTGGTTGTGCCTGTGGAAGTTTCTGTGATGGTGCTTGTACTGGTTGTTGTGCCGGTGATTGTTAAGGTGCTCGTGATGCTTGTGGTGCTTGTCGATGTTGAAGTTGTGGTACCAGTCGTTGTCGCAGTCATTGTGGTAGTGCTGGTCAACGTGTTTGTCGTCGTTGTGGTGCTTGTTGTTGTCCGAGTGCAACCTTCCAGCTTAAATGCATCCCCGTCCTGGTCACATTTGGACACCTTTGCCGCACCAACGAAGCCGGCTGCGCAGTCTGCTGTCACCACGAAGGATCTCAAGTTAAGGTCAGACTCTGTCACCAAGTATCCAGTCGTGTCAGGCGAAGAGCAAGCATCAGGATCGCAGCCCGCCACGTCGTACCTAGGCGCTACAAATCCAAAATGCTAGCTTACTGTAAGAATGATTCCTAAGACATCCAGGACCTTGCAGGCAAGGCGCGCCTGGGAATGCTTGAGACAAGCTGTGGCTGTTGGAGTGCCATGGAAAAGGGGAGCGCACTTGGCCTGCACTTCAAAGTTGCGAACCTTTGTGCTGACTTCAGTCCTTAATTGCAGCAAAACTTCGCTTGCGACACCTTGCTCTCGTATTACAATGAGCTTCTCAGTGCTAACATGATGGATATGAAAGTCCACCTAAATTGTGTCCAAGGTCAGAATATAGCCAGTGCTGTCTGCCGGAGTCTGGCAAACTTGTTCTGCGCAGCCGCTGAGCTTGAACGGCATGTCTTGCGCGTCGCACACCTGCTGTTTGAAACTTTTTGCTGCGAACGGCATCAGTTTGCATAGAAGAAGAACTCAGCCGTGTCATGGGTGTGGAGGGTATAGACCCCAATGTGCTAAGATCCCTCTGGTATCGGGGGTTCCGCTTGGACTCCAATCCTTTGGAGGTATTGCCAACCTCAATAAGATTTCATGAGAAGTTTGCATGGTCCAAGGCTCGCTCAGTTTGTTGCATCCCATATTCCTGTCTATTTTAGCTTCTCCTGGGGCAAACAAAGCCCTCTTTTTGACAAAATGCAAAACTGTGCTATTTCCAAATAGCTCGTTTTGTTGAGTTTGGAATGACAGCCCTTGTGACTATAAAAGGAAAGGGTATTAACAAGACATGTGTACTTGTTTTCTCCAAACAACAGCAATTTAGATTCCCAAAGATATTGTCAGTACTTTTGCCAAGGCTTGCTAATACCATGTTTGCAGTCCCAAGGGCTGTCATTCAAAAATCAAACAAAGCAAGCTATCTGGAAACAGCAAATGATTGCTGCAAACTGTTTGAAATCTCAAGGGTTGACAAGCTCGCAAATGGCAGCCCCTTGAAGGTAGCCCCCCCCATAACAAGAAACCACTAATCCTACAAAATGAAGAAAGCAATGTCCTTTCTAAGTTTCCTTTCCAACTCTAACCGAAGAGGACCGAAGAGGACCGGAGAGGACCGGAGCGGAGAGGACCAGAGAGGACCGGATTCTTCCGAAGAACACGGAGACTCTCCAGTGGGCCTTTGAAACCTAGGATGGACAAGGCTCGAGGGCATGAGAATGTTCGAGGGGAGTGGCAGATGGTTGGGAAGCAGCAAAGTGAATCATACAATCAGGGCATAGACAAGCTGGGCACTTTGATTGATTGACATTGACCCAATTCCGGATGTGTTGACAAGCGTGCGACATCTAGATTTGGCCACTCACCATTTGGACCTTGACGGCGGAGTCGTTGATCAAGAACCGAAGGCAATGCAGGGGAATGGCAATGTTACCGACCTGGCATGCTCAGGCAGCTTCATTGCGAGCAGGGTTGGATCCTGGACCGAAGTGAGAGTTCACGGCCCAAGTCCACTGGCAATTGACAGGTGCCGCGAGACAGATGCTGTCACTGCCGACAACTCACCAGATCCGCCATGGTCTTGCGTCTTGCGCAGGCTTGCAGATCTGCACCGCTTGCGGCCTGGTCTGCTGTGCAGCGTGCCTGGAGTAGGCTCCCATTTCCATCCAAAGCTCCCTAGCGGCGAAGGGCTAGCATGGTACCCTTATCCTTGAACTCAAAAAGCGCTCTGCGGGGCATCACCTGACTACTACTATACATGAATACTGGGAGATTCTCACACTGTTAGCAGCACTGCCGAACCCTCCAAGTCTGCAACTTGCTGCACAACCAAAGAGGATCTCAGCACTGAATAGCTGAGGCTACTGCGAGGCTCACTCGAGGAAAAACCGACGGCATGCGACAAATCCTAGCCTTCACGGTGGCTGACCCCTCATAGCCAGCTGCGCATTCAGCTGTTGCCTGGAAGTTCTCCACCTGCGAAAAAACGCCGTAGCGACTGACACGTGTCAGTCTTGCAACTGGACGTCTTGCTTGATATTGCTGCACCTTGACCTCAATGGATTCTCTCATGGCTCACTCCACACTTCACAACTTGAAGTTGAGAGAACACTTGTCGAACATGCCCGGAATGTTGCTTTGTTGAATTATCCACTTATTGTGTATCTCACAGCAAGCCAGCCTCCAGACTAGTCGCAGTGACCTTGTACCCGTTGACTTCTGTGTCCGTGCATTTCTTGACCAGAGTGGTGGTTGTTTCGATTGAGGTTGTCGTCTCTGTGCTTGTGGTGATGGTAGTGGTGGAGGTTGCTGTTTCAGTCATGGTAGCAGTCGCGGTTGTGGTGCGCGTGACTGTTGTCGTCGTAGCGGTCGTTGTTTGTGTTGTTGTTTCTGTGACTGTGGTTGTATGTGTCGAGGTCGACGTGGACGTGGTACTGGTGGATGTCGTGGTGCTCGTTGCAGTTGTTGTTGTGGTGGAAGTGTGCGTGAGGGTTGTGGTAGATGTACTGGTGCTGGTCGTGGTCACAGTGGTAGTGGTCGCTTTACAGCCTGAAACAGAATAGGCATTGCCATCCTTGGCACATACTGTTGCTGTAGGGCTGCCGGCATAGCCATCCTTGCCTCGGGACCGCAAGTGCAGCAATTTTACTTGGCCCCAAACGGCACGTCTGCGAAGATCCAAATCACACTTATCCACTATACCCGCTTGTGCCCATCTTGTACTGCCGGCAACACGTCAACCAGCGCATCAGGCGCACAAGACTCGGAAAAGCACTGAAAAGGCTCTTGCACTTCAGAAGCCCTTGATGGGGCATCAGCAATGTTGAAAGTTTCGCAACGTTTACACTCGTGTTTCACAGAATTCATCATGTATCGATTCCATCACTGCAAAAAAGTTAACGTTTACATGCAGCTGCGTGCGAGGGCAGCTGGTAGACAGCTGCTGGCAACAACAAGCAGTTTGCAATACTGGTTGATGTTGGCTGAGGAACAGTTTGTCATGCTTAGGAACAATGCTTCAGACCCACATTCACACGAGCGTCGTCTGCAAACACGCGCGTTCAGTATAGTTTGAACTACCAGTGGACAGATTCATCAAGGCAAACACATTGGGTGAGCGCGTGCTTTCCCGACTATCCACAACCAGTTTTTGGGCAGCAGAGGACTCTTACCATGAAGTGCCCCCCTGCCCACCTGGCATCCTAAGATTGCGTCCCAGTACAGTCCTGTCTGACAAATTCAACCGACCTCAAAAGACCTTGTTGAAGAGCTGGGATACGCCGTATTGATACACCCAAAAGTCATAGAGAAATCGATGTCAAGTGGCATGCTGCAGGCTTTAGATTCTTGAAGCATTGTTGATCCCTCGTGTATGAAAGAAGCTGGGCGGCACGTGGCCGTCACCGCAAAGGATTCTCGGCCCAAATGTGTCTCAAGCCTAAGGTGTCGCATGGTGGCGAAGTTGGCAGAGGAAATGGATTCGTTTGAATCACATGCCGGATCCTGCACAGCATGACAGAATCAGAATGAATCAAATGTTAGAAGCTTTACCCGGCCAGAAAATGGGTTTTGAGCTAAGCTTCATCTTTTCAATGACATGACCGCAGACATTTACCAAAATCGTGCACCTTTCGTGAGCATGTGAGTGACACGTCAGCGCTTCTGAGTTTCCAGCACATTATAGGCTGTCAGGTCTGCTGGCTGAGTGCAAAGCTCAGCAACACATCCTGAAAGCCTTGGTACTACCAACATTGCAAGCGCCTTTTCAATGCCAGTGCCAGTAATAGTATGTTCGGCGTAGTTTAGCCAGGCAACTTGTAGGCAGACAAATCCCCGTCGCACTCCGTCACGACCGGAGTGCCTTTGAATGCCTTGGCTTTCCAGATTCAAGTTTGATCAAAAGATCGCGCAAGAAGCTAGTTCAACACCTGCTGGAATCCTCAATCGCTGCCAAGTTACCGCCTTGCATTTGGCAGTCACTTGCATGGCACCCCTCGTCAGGGATTGCTCGGTGATGATGTAGCTCGAGATATTGTCGGGACGGATGCAATGCTTAGTTCGCAGAGAATAGCAAGGATGAGTCTGCAAACAACAAGGTTGGAATGGCAGTCTGCCAGCCAATGCGAGACAGCAAGCCTCTACAAAAAAGTGTGCCTAAGTGTTGGACCTCCGCAAAAAGCTCCTGCAGTCAAACCCGATAAGGTAGCAGCACAAAAAACATGATTGAAACATGCAAACTCATTCGTCTGAATGTAAGCCTTGCACTACATGCGTTGCTTGTGTTGCTTTTACTTGCTTTGCTTGCTTCTCTTGTTTTGCTTCGCTGACGCTTGCTTCGCTTGCTTGCTTTCTTTGCTTGTCTTGCTTGCTTTGCTTTTGGCTTGCTTTCCTTGCTGTGCGCATTTGTTCGTTGTAACCGTTTCCCTGTTTCCCTTGCTTGGCTTTGCTTGCTTGCTTGATTGCTTGCTTGTTTGCTTTCTTTGCTTGTTTTGCTTGCTTTGCTCTGCTTGCTTGCTTAGTTGTTTGCTTGATTTGCTTGCTTTCCTTGTTGCGCCTGCTTCGCTTGCTTTGCTTGCCTGGTGCGCTTGCTTGCTGGCTTGTTTCCTTGCTTTGCTCTCTTTGCTTGGCTTGCCATCTGGCTTTCTGTGCCATTTGGCTTGCCACGCTTGCTTTGCGCGCTTGCTTGCGTCGGTTACTACGCCTGCTTTGCTTGCTTCGCTTGCCTAGCTTGCTTTGCGTGTTTGCTTGCTTGGCCTGCTTCGCGCGCGTTACTTGTTTTTTTCTGCTTTGCTTCTGTGCTTGCTTGCCCGCGCGAATGCGCCTGTTTGCTTGCTTTACTTGCTTCAATTGTTTGTTCGCCTTGCCTGCTTCGCTTGCCTTGTTGTTGTTTGGATTGCCTGGCTTGAACTGCTTGATTCGCTTACTTTGCTCACTTTGCTTGCTTCGCTTGCTTCGCGTGCCTTGCACGCTTTGCTTCCCTTATTTTCTTGCCTTCTTGTTTGCTTGCTTTGCTTCCTTTCCTAGCTTTGCTGGCTTGTTTTCTTGCTTTGCTGGTTTTCTCGCTTTGCTCGTTGTCTTGCTTCGCTTGTTTTGCTTGCTTTGCTTTATTTGCTTGCTTACTTTGCCTTGCTTGCCTTGCCTGTTGGCTTTCTTTCCCTGCTTCGCACGCTTGTTCGCCTTACGTGTTTGCTTGCTGCTTGTTGTCTTGCTTTGCTGGCTTGCTTGCTTCGCTTGCTTTGCTTTGCTTGCTTTGCCTATCTTGCCTCTGTTCCTGCCGGTTTGTCCGTTCTCGCCGGCCTACCTTTCTCACATCTGCACTTTTCTACTTCATCCTCTGGCCCTGCCAGGTTTTTCAAAATGGTATCGAGGGCGGCTTTGTTCCTCGACCGGTTTCCTTTCTACATGGGTCGCATCCTCGGCGAACAGCCTTGTGTAAGGCACGTCTGCAACACCGGGCTTGCGCATCACTAAACCCCCCGCACCAAGCTATCCCTACCGAAGCCACCCAACGGAAACCCAAGTCGAGAACAGATGAGTCCAAGCCAACTCAACCCACGCAAGCAAGCAAGCAAGCAAGCAAGCAAGCAAGCAAGCAAGCAAGCAAGCAAGCAAGCAAGCAAACAAACACAAGCGCCAAAGCAAACAGCTCACAAAATCCAAGCACGCAAAGGCTTGCTGGAGATAAATGTTCAACCAAAAGCCAAACTAGACTGAACGCGAAAGCGTCACAAAACCTCCCCTCGGCAGCAGCATTGTTTTTTGGGGTAACAACCTCGTTCTCACTTTGAGACAGCAGGCTTCTTTCAACAATGTCTTCATATCCTGTACACAGTATGAACCTTCTTTGGCGGTAGCTCAATCAGGACAAACCAAGTCACCCACGAAGACTGCAAAATGTGTATACACTATGGCCAAAAAGGGAGGCTCGAAGTACACGAGGTAGCAAGGCCCCTTTAAGTTTCGCTGTTTGTGGGAAAAGCGTCTTTGCTCACGACCTCCCATTAACGTAAAACACGCTTGCGTCTCTGCACGCAGAGTCGTTCAGACGCACACCTGCGCAGACAAGGCGCCCTTTGAATTGCGTTGTCCGCGTTGCAGCTCTGCACATGTATCTTCAAAACACGCGTTCAAGCATGACATTCTTACGGGGCTGCGAAAAGTGTGTCTGCTGATTTTTCTATCCAGTCTCTTCCTCTCCCTCTCTTTCTCTCCCTGCTACCCTGCTTCCAGCGTTTCACCCTGAGGCCGGGCTTCCAGCATGAAATGTCTTATGCGTTACACGTAAGTGATCCGATCAGATTTATGTACGTCAAGGCAAGCCGCTGGTTTCGCAGCGAGCACTCATCGAACCACATGCACACACTCTTTGCTCCGCCCTGCAAGAAGAGGTATGCGAATGAGGATCATACGTGTCTGAATATATATATATATATAGAGAGATGTGTAATCACCAAGAATGAGATAAAACAGTTTGACTCAAATAGCTGCACTGTGAGGAGCAACGGGGATCCTGTTTGAAGTGCTCCTATCCAGGCCAAGGAAAGTTGGCCAAGGGTTATGCCTGACACCTCCAAAGCGCACCCGTCCTTGGACTTATTTGCATCAGATGTCAGCGGGGAAGGCAACTTGCCCACAAGAGCAAACCGGAAATCGCCATTCAGGTTTACAGCCTTGGGCAATTGTCGCAGCAATGAAGCATGCATGTGCAGGATTGACTTGCAACCTTGCACAAGAGTGTTGCTCAAGAGCCAGTCTGGGCCTCAAACTACCTTTGACCAAGCTGAGCGCAGCCATCTTCCGGTAGACACCTCTTGAGTGCCCATGACGGAAGTTGCCACCCAGTTCGTCACTTGCCGCCCTGCTTGTTCCGCAGAGTTCTTGCCTCGGGACAGCAGCGGGTCCGTGTCAGCATGAGGGTGTGTCATGTAGTCTGAGAAACTGTAAGTTGCCTTCAACACTTCGTGCCTCAAAGGCCGTAATCCTTTGATATGAAGGGCGTTCATTTCAAAGCACAACGTGTTTTAAGGCACGCCCGCCTGACGCATCCACTGAAGAAGTGACAGAGACTTTAAAGTCGGTGTCGCCGCCCAGTTTGGAGAGCCTGGCACTGGATATGAGTTACTGTCGAAACTTGTTGTCTCTTTTGAGGTGGTTTCCATGTAGATACGCTCTTGGCGCCGGCCCACCGTTTCTCAGCACAAACGTAGTAAAGGAAGTACACGCTGGCAGCTCCGGCTGGAGCATCGCACCTTTTTCAGCACAAGTGTAACAAAGTAAATAAGCGTGCCAGCCCCGGCTGGAAAGTCGCAACTTTTCAGCACAAGCGTAGTTCCGACTCGAAAGTTGCACTTGTCCAACGCGGTTGAGTACAGGAAGCGCGCTTTGGCAGCTCCAGCTCGAAAGTCGCTCGCATTTTTCAGAACAGGTGCACTCTGGCAGCTCTGGTTGGAAAGTTGCAATTTTCAATACAAGTGTCACTTTTCAGTATGATTGTAGTGAAGGCCGACTCGAAAGCCACAACTTTTCAGCAAACAAATGCGGCTTCCACCAAGGAAGTACATTTTGAAAGTTGGCACTTTTCAGCGCCGGCGTGGTGAAGGAAGTACACTCTGGCAGCTCTGGCTTGAAGGTCGTCAACACAAGTGTAAAGGTAAGCAGACTCCGGCAGCTACGTTTTTCAAGCGTAGCAAAGGAAGGAGGCTTTGGCAGCTCCTCGCTCCTGCTGGAAAGTTAGTAAAAGTGTAGAAGACGTTGGCAGCTCGGGTTCGAAACTCGCATTTGTCAGCACTTGAAGGTCGCAACTTTTCAGCACAAGAAGCGCCGGCGAAGCAGGGAACTGCGCTCTTTCTCTTTTCTCTCTTGCTCTTTATCTTTTGGGCTCCTGCTGCTTCTCTTTGCCTTTCAGTTCCTCGTCTTCTCGCTCTCTTTTGTTGTCTCTTCTGTTTCCTTTCTCTCTGTTGCTATACACCTGCTGCCCATCTATCTACACTCTGTCAATCAATCTGTCTATCCATCTGCGTCTCTGTTCTATCTGCCCACAACTCGCATTTCTAGCTCCCTCTCCGCGTTCTACCAACCACCTAACACACGTCCTTCCTTCTTAGCATCTGTCTATCTGTCTATCTCGGCTAGCAATCTACCTATCTAGCTATCTGTCTATCCAACTTTTTACCTCTACCAGCCACCAGATTTCTCTGTCTTCTGACACGCGCACGCGCCTGCCATGAACCATGCAGTTGACTTTGCGAAAGCGCTTTGCCCGTCAAGAAATCTGTGCTCGACCTTGCATAAGCGATGCGCCTGCCACCAAACCTGTACCAGACCTTGCTCTGCCTGAAACTGTGTACCTGACCTTGCGAAAGCGCTGCGCCTGCCTACCTGACCTCGAAAGCGCTGCGCGCCTGCCACGATATCTGCGCCTGACCTTGCAGAGGTGCTGCGCCTGCCACAAAATCCATACCTGACCTTCCCAAACTGCGGCGCTTTGCTACGAAAGCTGCACTTGACCTTGTGAAAGCGACGCGCCTGCCACCAAACTCGCACTCGACCTTTGCGAAAGCGCTGCGCTTCCACGAAATCTGCGCGCGCCAGTTTGCACATCCGCGCCAATGCGATTGCCACACGCCCGCGGCGCCAGCATTACCGAAACGCTGCGCCTGTCGCGCAATCTGCACCTGAGTCTGCAAAGCGCTGCGCCTGCCACGCAACCTGCACCTCAGCTCGCCAAGGCGCTGCGCCTGCCTCGCGAAAAGCGCGCGTCCGTGCCAATTGGGCCCGGGCCCTCCTCAAGACCCGCGCCCGCTGTCTGCGTCGCGACCACGGTAGCTTTCAGCCCGCCGGAGACGCCAAAACCCGCAGAGGATCCCTCGCGATGTGGTTTCCCGCCACATGCATGGTTTCTCGCACGCGCTCCGGCTGCGTCACCCCATCTGTGAGCAAGGACGCAGACTTTGGCAGCCCAGCCCAAGTCGCATTCTTGCAGCACAGGTGTTTTCAAGGAAGCACATTCTGGCACCCCCAGCTCGCAAGTCTCACTTTTTCAATACAAGTTCAGTAAAGGAAGCAGACTTTATCAGCTCCAGCTCGAAAATCACATTTGTTCAGCACACGTGCAGTAAGGAGGGTACACTTTGGCATGCGCGGCTAGCGTTTATCTTAAACAATCTTTGCGGTTTGGCGGTGGCCCTAGTTTTACCAGGCTTTCTGCAAATCTTCGCTATAACCAACCCCCCTGCGCTAAAGCGGTCTACGCTCATTGCAACTCGGCGAGGTCATCTGGAAAAAGCACATAAGCTGCTTGCAAATAAGCAGCGGAATCTCAATCATAATGTCGTACGCCGATGAAGGCGACACAGTCCAGCCTCGATGGCTGCTGAACTGATGACCCCGCTGAGACGAGTACGTCGACGGGTCGGCGCTGAGCAATTGAATGCTTTGCTCTAAGGCCGGGACTCCACTTCTCACCTGCTGCAACAGTCTTTCGACAAACCTTCTGAGTCGATTCTCCCTGGCGCGAGGTCAGCCCCAATGGCGAAGAGATGAGTCTGCTTGCTATCTACAAGCAATGGTGAATGCAGGCAATGGGTGGGGCAATTGGCGCCTCATCCTTCCCCCAGAACCCTTGCTGAAGCCAGGGGGCCCACACGAGTCCAGCTCAGGAAATGAATTGTGTGGAGAGCACCGGACCGCCAGCCGCCAAGCACTTTTCTTTGCTGGTGACGGTGCGGGCACATTGTTGCAAGATTGTCAGGCGCATTTTTGGAAGATTGACGATAGGGTGTTAGGGGGCATGCAATTTGGGGCGCAGGTGCAGGTGGGATACTGTTCAGGGTGCTGTTTGGGGTGCTGGTGACAGTGCGGGCGCATCCTTGCTGGATTGAACGCTGGCTGCTCCGCGGGAGCTGTTTGAGGGTGCTGTTCGTGGTGACGGTGCAGGCGCATGTTGCGAGATTGACGGCAGGGTGCTGTTGGGGGCGCTCTTCGGGGGGTGCTGTTACACGTGCTGGTGTGCAATCATTGGCATGTTTTTGCCATCTGGGGTCTATGCAAGTTGTTTTTTTCTTTTCTTCGGCTAGCATTTTTGCAGCAAGCAGCCGAGGTTCGGAGGCAAATACATCTGTTAGTAAGGCATTCTGTTGAAAGATTCACGGCGTCTCCTGGACATTGAGGTGTGAAAGTGGGGTTTCCTTCTAATGTTAAGCCTATGTGAGAGATTTGACTTGGTCTTGTTTTTCCCAGATAGCTGAAAGCTATACGGGTTCTAACTTCTAATGAAGAGGGACAAGTGATTTGCGAGAATGACGGGCTGGTGCTAGGGGGCGTGCAGTTTGGGGTGCTGGTGCGGGCGCTGTTTGGGGGTGCTGTTTGGGGTGCTGTTGGAGGTGCCAGACAGCCAGCACAGCTGTGCAAAACTGTGAGAAATAGGAACGGTTCTGGGTGACAAGTACAAACAACGAGCGTGGCTCCGATTGGGCAGCCATCCCTCCCAGAATTGCTGAGCACACAAGCAAGCAAGCAAGCAAGCAAGCAAGCAAGCAAGCAGGCAGGCAGGCAGGCAGGCAGGCAAGCAGGCAAGGCAGCGCAGCGCAGCGCAGCGCAGCGTAGGGCAGGGCAGGGCAAGGCAAGGCAAGGCAAGGCAGGCAGGCTTGGGGAGCCTGAGGCTTCTAAGAATTTTGGCACAAGCTGCCTTAACAACACCCTCTGTGAAAGAGGTTCTCCTATGTGCAAGCTATGACAGGATGCTATTTTGGGATGCGCAAGTGCAGTTGTTGAACTGGGCAACGTCCCTTGCAGTGTGCGAGGACCTTGTTGTTTGTCCGATGGGTGCATGGTCAGCGGAGACTCTGAAAAACAAGCACCTGAAAATCTGGCAGTGGTTCCAGTGCATGTACGGATCGCCACATTAATATGATGTTGGATGGCTGCTGGATCAAAACAGTCCAAGCATCATGAACAGAAACACCTGGGTGAGGAGGATGCAAAGCCTTGCAGCTTGAAACAGAGTGACAAGCCTTGTACGCTGCCACATCTGGAGAAGAACAAACCTTAGTCGTTCGCATCCCAACTGCTTGTGGCATCACAAGAAAGAGAACTCTGCGAAGTAAATTTGTGACAAGGAGCAGCATCGCTGTCACAGCTCAGGCAGGTTCCATTCGCACTTTCAAGGATGACACCACCAACTTCCCCTGTTGTGGTCTTCGGATCCACAAAAGCATCCTAGCGAAGCAAGACTGAGCTATGGCACGGCCGCTTGGAACACTCGTGCCTACATCAAATGATCTTATGATTTTGACTTTTCTTGAGGCAAGCGTCTGCTTTGAGCTTCACTTGTAGCACACGCCTGTGATCCGGCGCCGTGTCAGCGTGTCGGAAACTCATCATCTTTCCACAAAGGACCTCAGAAAAAGAACAACTCTTCGAAGCTATGCACCCCCGGGAGAAGATGCAGCACGTGGATTCGCAATGCATGTCGTCCATACTCGAACTTGATCCTGAGGCACGAACGACATTGGCCTGAAGAGCCGCGATCCAAAATGCCTGCAGGTGTGGCCACACAACTCGGAAGAGGCAACTTTAATGCAAGCAGGCCACTGCATTGATTCGCATGGCCTCGGACTCAGAGCACGCATGCTGCAACAAATCAAGCCAACCGGAAAGCACACATTCATCCCGTGTTCATCGGCAATTTACGCACAGAGTCCGAGCAAGCCTTGTAGGTCCACAGGCTTCCGGAAACACGTCCTGCCCCACGGCATTTGGGGTGTGCCACGCTTGCACAAGCAAGAGCCACGCTGTCCTCAGCCTGGACTTCGTTGGATCACAAGCAGTAAGAAAACATACTGCTTGCTGTCGAGCCAATGCAGTTCACAAACCATGCAAAAAACAGAGACTAAAAGCTATGCCCGCGGAGCGTTGGAATTCCAAACTTCAAATGCATGAAATACGGCAGTTCCCGAAAACAGATTGCAGCCCCAGTTCTTCAAAGCCTCAGAGCTTCACAAAGCAGCGCAGCAGCCCATTGTAGTAGCAGTCTTGCAGGGGCTACGTGTGGACCCTTCAGCAGTAACACCTACCATGCAAGGAACTGGTACGTACGCGAGAGGCACTTCCACCCAAACATGCACACAAAAACCAATGTGAAACATGCAGAAGCTGAAAACTGCGAAGGGGATAGTCTTGAAAGCCCCTGTGGGACCTCATCACCCCGCCCCACGTATGTCCTGACCCTGGGAATATAGAATATCGCGAGAGTCTCCCTTGAATCTAGCTACAACTGTGGTAGGAAGTATGCTACAAACAAGTGTAAACATACACTATCGAGTATTTGGGTGGGGTTGGGGATGAAACTTACAAATGTCAAGGTTCATCCAATGACAACACACGAGTTCACATTATGTGTTGTTTTAATATTGAAAGTGAATAAATTTGGAGGGAAGATCTATGCAAAACTTTTGAGAATTCGAGAAACACCTAAAATCGTCTGCCAGACCTCCGAAGTCAGTTTTGGTGTGAGGCAGCACCTAACATAGCGCGAGAGCTTCCTCTTGTTTTTAGCTGCAATGTTGGTAGGAAGAATGCGAGCTACAAGTAGACTGTAAACATAGTAACCATAGCGAGGCATGGTTTCGCTTCATTTTGCACTGTGTAAAACGTATGGCTTGCAAAGTGTTCCTTGAAACCGGGGGCAAATACTGCTAAATTATGCATATGTATTCCTATAACCCTATTCTTCGTCGACTCTTTCTGAAATAGGTCTGTACAACGTCTACGTTTTGACATGGACTCTTTGGCTCCATGTTTAGCTCAGCTTCATTCTTCAAAACCACGCCTGCAAGTGCAACCCCTCAAGTAGTATTGGGAGAGAACGATCGTCTTTTTTGTGCTAGCAAAGCTCTTCTTCTTCTTCTTCTTCTTCGTCTTCTTCGTCTTCTTCGTCTTCTTCTCTTCTGATAGGGTCCTTGGACCCCTGCACAACGCACCTTCTGAAAGCCTTGCCTTCATTGAACAACAAGCAACGTGGGCTCGTCTTCCTGGTACAATTTTAATAGGGAACGTGACCATAGAGAAACCGAAAACACAATCCGTAAGAAAACCGTATGACGGACATGTGTTGTGTAGAACATCCATTGTTGCGCAGACCGGTTATTCCTGGCAGGGAGCCATAAGGACCATTCAGGATCAATATCCTCATTCGGCAATCGTTGCTGTGATGGAGATAGAATTGTGCCGTTTGCTCTACTTAATTTAGGGTTGGACCCTCAGCGTTGCCAATGTCGTGTTTGATAAAATATCCTAAGACAATGTTCCTTTTCATGGAATATCCTCGGGTCTCAGACAGTTTCTCTGAAACACCTTCAACATAGTTGCTTTCTCTGTTCAAGAAGTCACTGCAAAAAATGCGTTCATCGTCTGTCTGTGTGTCCTATGCGCTCATTTGGGAAGGGTCTGCCTCAACAAAACAAGTCACCCAACTATGCCTGTCTTCTCCTCGACATCCGGTGGCCCAGAGGGTCCCTTGCATGTTTCGTGAAGGGACCCGGCCCACCCCGAAAGTCCCGAGGACTCGGGCTAGTTTCTTGCAGTTTCCCGCGCACTCGCTCACCGAACAGTGTGTCCTATTTTGCAAGACAGGGCGAATTGAGGTACAGTTTCGTGGTGGCTTTCGCTAACGCTCACCGATTCGGAGGTGTGTGCGTGTCTGTGGGTGGGTGCACGCACCTGTGCGTGGCGGGCATGCGCGCGCAGATCCTTGGACTTGCAACTTGACTGCATATGTTTGTGCACCCCAAACCCTAAGCAAACAACTCTTGTCTGACAGACAAATTGCTGCGTGTTCCAGAAGCGGTGCGTCAATGTTGTGTCAAGGTGTGCGGTCACCATGGCATATACAAGGCTACTTTTGCTGATTCGCACTCCGTTGCACCTTGCAGTACATACCCAAAGAGCGCATAAGGCAAAAGAGCATCACAGGAAGGCAGCTCTGGCAAAGTACAGAGCTTTGCCTCCTGCTGTACATGTTCATGACCCCAGCATCCCACAACACGGACCCGAAAGTCGTGGATCAGCAAGGCCCTGCAAACATGTTTCAAGGCAAGAAACCACGCAGCGCGAGGTTAATATGATCTGCGCATCAAAGAAAGAGTATCCTATCATGTCAAACATGAAAGCAAGGCAGGCATCTTGACCACCGTCGGCAATAACGTCAACCAAGAGCTGCTTTGGCAAGCATGAGCCAGCAGGCTAGTCAACGGCCACTCTAGTCAATGGTGCAATGGTCGATGTGCCAGTACTTGTTCCATCAATCATATTTGTCACCTCTCTCATTCCAAAAGGCTCATACAAGAATTCGGATGCATGAATGCAGGATCCCCGCCACCGCCCTTTGAGTTGCTTTTTCATCAGCTTCAGGATCGCACTTTTGTTCGCTCGTCGGCACTGGCGCCGGCACTTCCAGCACCGGCACTGGCGCCGTCACCGGCACTGGCGCCGTCACCGGCACTGGCGCCGTCACCGGCACTGGCGCCGTCACCGGCACTGGCGCCGTCACCGGCACTGGCGCCGTCACCGGCACTGGCGCCGTCACCGGCACTGGCGCCGTCACCGGCACTGGCGCCGTCACCGGCACTGGCGCCGCACCGGCACTCGGGGCGGCAGCTTCAGGGGTGCCACCCAGGTGTGCGCACATTTGTCAAAGTCCTGGGCAACGGTAGGTCCATCGGGAAGGCTCAAGCAGCCAAAAGGCTAGCTTGAAGCCAAAGCAAAGTAAACCCTCACGGAAGCACAAGCCAGCGATTCCCGGAAGCTTGGCACCCTGCCTCCTGGAAAGGATCGATCGGATCGGGGATCTCTTCAGCTTTTGCTTTGGGCGGTGGCGGTGGTTGTGTTGGCATTGAGAAACTTGCGGCAGGACGAAGCTGTGACCTTGAAACTCACCACTCACAGCTGAATTGGTGTAATCAGCGTACTCCAAATTCTCAAACATTCCAGTTGCTGACGCGATAGACTCAATGCACATAAGCACCCAAACTGGCTGACGCGTGAGCCCCATGTCGGGTTCACGGACATCCTTGGATGATGGACAACTGAAGCCGCCGCTCGCATCAGAAACCAAGGTGCTGACTCCGACATTGACCTATGACCAGCAGGCGTAGGTCTTGTTGGATTGGACGTCCTTTGCCATCCTGCTGTGCAACGCAACCAGTACATATGTGCTGGACTCCACGGATTCTCAAATCCTCTACATCTATGTCTTGCTGATGCTCTGTCATATGCAATCCTGTAGGTGACAGAAGGGGATATGGCGATGACCTGCACGCGAGCTAGCTGAAAATGAAAGTGACGCTGAGAAACACATTGGACTTATTTGTCGCAAAGGCCTCTGGGCATAGCTTGACCTCAGAAAGCAAGAAACCATTTTACTGACTGCAGCCAGCATTTGCTTGACAGCAAAAGAGCATATTATTTTTTATTCTTGGCAACCGGGCCGACTCATTCCTCCTGATGGGATGACAGCAGGCATGTCCTGGAATCAACGACTCCGCAGAGAAAGAATCTGGACTCCAACACTGGGCGCGCATATGCAAACATCATTGCCGGCTAGGTTGGCTGTTGGGCCGGTTGGTCAGTTGCTTCCATGGGCACTTGCTGAATTGTTTGATGGTTCGATTGGTGGATTGGTTGCAAGCTTAATTGGTTGGAGGGCTTGCAGGAAGCAAACAAACAAAGCAGTGAGAAGGAATAGCATAAAGAGACACAAACAGGCAAACAAAAAAACAGACAAGTAGCAGGTCGCAAACGACAAACAAATGCAAACGTTTGCTGTTACTTCCTCGTGTCTGCTTGTTTGCCTCGTTCCTTGCTTGCCTTGTGTGGCTGTGTTGCTTGCTTCTTTGTTGGCTTGGGATTGGTACGAAGAGATAGCAGCAAGTAGCAGTAAAGGAACAAACATGTATCAAACGAAGCGAAGCAACCGACAACGTCAATACGCACATGAAAATCATGCAATGTGCAATCCATACAATATCATATTGTTACACAAATACAGTGCAGTGACAATGCAATGATAATGCACTGACAATGACAATGAGAAGCACAATGACAATGACAAATGGCAATGACCACGACAATGATGATGACAACGACGATGGCGCTGACAATGACAATGGCAAGGACAATGCCAATCAGAATGATGATGGCGATGATAATGACGACAAGTACAAGTACAAGTACAAACACTATCCAGTACAGCACAGTACAAACAGTACAATACAATATAAGCGAGAAAATACAATTAAATTGTATCATAGCAGAGCATAACAAGTAGTCCATACCACGCGTTGCATTAAACTTATGTCTAGCTGCCAGCCAGCACAACATTCCGAGGTGCACTGTGCGCGGGCGCAATCTGAATGGAATGCGCCAACCTGGCGTTATCCGAGCAAGCTCATGTTTGGGATGTGGCGCAATTGTCCACAGGAATATCCAGCAAAAATCAGGGTGCAGAGTGATTAACAGTGAGATTTCAGACTAGAAATCTGGTGACAACGCTTCGATGCGGAAACCCTGCACATCTGGTCCTGCTTCCCGTTCATTGCATACGCGTTAGTAGGTGCCTTACAAGCGGACATTCATGTCAGGCGACAAAAAGCAGATGATATGTAGTATGTGCCATACACCAGATTCAATATCAATGGGCGTGGATAAACTCACGTCAAGTATGTGCGCATACGTCCAGCGGCAAGTCTCCATATCTTCAGGCTGCTCCATTCACTTCAATACTTCATGCACCGAGCCATCTGCAGTAAATCCTTTGGAAGAATGGCGTTTATTCAGCATACACTACCGAATAGGCGCCGAGCAATTGTTGGAGGCGCCCTGTAACCGTTGTAACCTCGCTGTCTCCACTGAACCTCGGAGGGAGCGGGAGCTACCCGATGTCTCTCAAAGGAGCGAGCGAGCCAAAGGGAAGGGGATCCTTGATGGAGTTCGGCTGGTCCGGAGTCCGGACGCCAAGATTCGGGCAAAATAGCTCGGAGTGGCCATTGCAGGAGGCACCAAGCGATCTTGAGACCTTGGTCCATCAAGCTCGCTGATCCCAATCTGCCAGCTGAAGATCCGACTGATTTGAAGAAGCGAGGTGCGGAGGGAGAGGATCCTAGCGTAATGTGATTTGCTAAAGAGCTCATCCACACAGTTTCAATGAAACAATGCTGTGCGCAACCAGGCATTCGAACACACGGCCTCCTCATCAGGTTCTTCTTCGCCGATCTCGTCTGGCTCTGTGTCGGAAAACTCACCAATCCGACTGTTCACCTCATCAAAAAACGCGCGTTTCGAACTCGGGGCCATTGCATCGTGGCATTCTGGGGGTGCATGGCATTCGTGCTTACACTACATCATACAACATTACATGGCAGTGCATTGCATTTACATGATCGTACATTAGACAGCATTGCATGGCTGTGTGTGGTGTTGCATCACATTACATACCTACACGCATGGCATGGAAACAACACGTGACATACACATATCAATATGCATTGTGTTCACACATACACGCATACATCCCTCCATTAATTCGCTCACTCGTCAGTGCATTCGTTCGCTTGTTCAGTCACTCTTTAATTCGCTCGTTCAGGCAGCCAGTTGTTCAGAATGGTTGTATTGATTCATGAGTTATTCATTCATGCACGCATGCATGCACGCATGCATGCATGCATGCACGCGCGCCTTCGATCATTCATGCATTCATCCATTCATGTCCTGTCATTTCATGTCAATTCATTTCATTCATTTGTTCGTGCATTCAATCATGCATTCAATCATTCATTCATTCATTCATTCATTCATTCATTCATTCATTCATTCATTCATTCATTCATTCATTCATTAATTCATTAGGTCAGAAATTCATTCATTCATGCATTCATTCCTTCATCTCATTTCATTGCATTTCATTTCATTTCGTTTTATGCATTCATTCAATCATTCATTAATTCATTCATTCATTCGTTCATTCATTCGTTCATTCATTCGTTCATCCATCCATCCATCCATTCATCCATCCATCCATTCATTCATCCATCCATTCATTCCTTCATTTCATTTCATCTCATTTCATGTCATTTCATGTCATGTCATGTCATGTCATTTCATGTCATGTCATGTCATGTCATTCATTCATTCATTCATTCATTCATTCATTCGTTCGTTCGTTCGTTCGTTCGTTTCAATCGTTCATGTGTTCCTTCATTCATTCATTCATTCATTCATTCATTCATTCATTCATTCATTCATTCATTCAATCAATCATTCATTCATTCATTCATTCATTCATTCATTCATTCATTCATTCATTCATTCATTCATTCATTCATTCCACTTCATTTCATTTCATTTCATTTCATTTCATTTCATTTCGTTTTATGCATTCATTCAATCATTCCTTCATTCATTCATTCATTCATTCATTCGTTATCCATGCATCCATTCATTCATCCATCCATTCATTCCTTCATTTCATTTCATCTCATCTCATCTCATTTCATGTCATTTCATGTCATGTCATGTCATGTCATTTCATGTCATGTCATGTCATGTCATGTCATATCATGTCATGTCATGTCATGTCATGTCATGTCATGTCATGTCATGTCATGTCATGTCATGTCATGTCATGTCATGTCATTCATTCATTCATTCATTCATTCATTCATTCATTCATTCATTCACTTCAGTTCAGTTCAGTTCATTTCATTTCATTTCATTTCATTTCATTTCATTTCATTTCATTTCATTCCATTCATTCATTAGTCAGTCATTCCGTCATTCATTCATTCATGCATGCATGCATGCATTCATTCATTCACTCACTCATTCATTTCAATTCATTTCATTGCATGTCATTTCAATCCAGTTCATTCATTCATTCATTCGTTCGTTCATTCATTCATTCATTCATTCATTCATTCATTCACTCCATTGCATTCCCTTCCCTTCCCTTCCCTTCCCTTCCCTTACCTTCCCTTCCCTTCCCTTCCTTCCTTCCTTCCTTCCTTCAGTCATTCATTCATTCATTCATTCATTCATTCATTCATTCATTCATTCATTCCACTTCATTTCATTTCATTTCATTTCATTTCATGTCATTTCATTTCATGTCATTCGTTCATTCGTTCGTTCGTTTGTTCGTTCGTTCGATTGTTCGTTCATTCATTCATTCATTCATTCATTCATTCATTCATTCATTCATTCATTTCTATTTCATTCCATGTCATTCCATGTCATTCCATGTCATTCCATTTCATTCCATGTCATTCCATTTCATTCCATGTCATTCCATTTCATTCCATTCCTTTCGTTCATTCGTTCATTCGTTCATTCGTTCATTCGTTCATTCGTTCATTCGTTCATTCATTCATTCATGCATTTCATTTCATTTCATTTCAATTCATGTCATGTCATGTCATGTCATGTCATGTCATGTCATGTCATGTCATGTCATGTCATGTCATGTCATGTCATGTCATGTCATGTCATGTCATGTCATGTCATGTCATGTCATGTCATGTCATGTCATTCATTCATTCATTCATTCATTCATTCATTCATTCCTTCATTCCTTCATTCCTTCATTCATTCATTCGTTCATTCGTTCATTCGTTCATTCTGTCATTCGTTCATTCGTTCATTCGTTCATTCGTTCATTCGTTCATTCATTCATTCATTCATTCATTTCCCTGCATCTCATTTCATTTCATCTCATTTCAGATCGTTTCCTTTCGATCCATTTTATTTCGTTCATATCACATAGTTTCATGTCACTTCACGTCATGTTGTGTCAATTCAGTTCATGTTCATGTTCATGTAATTATCGCGTTTCATGTCTTTACTAATGCCTATTCAGATTTGAACAATTGACAAGCTTCCAACGCAAAAAAAAAAAAAATAATCCAAGTGGTTACGCATGAGGAAGGCCTTGCTGTTTCTTTGTTGCGCCAAATGAAGGGCGTCGCCAAATGGACACAAAGCAAGCCAGAACTGGTTGGCTAGCTCCTTGGCCTACTGAGCGCCCTGCAACGGGATCCACCGTTGGCAATTGAAAGGGACGAGCTTCCAGATCTGGGTCCTGTGGCTCAGGTGCCCCCGTCTCAAAGCGATCTGTGAAGAAAAAACAGCTGTCCCAAGTGTTGATCCGTTCTTCGCCATTTTTCGGTGGAGCGTTCCTGTGGAGGCGGGGTGGCGTCAGTGGGGAATGGAGAGTGCAAGCTGCACAATGCTCTGACTCTGCCAAGAACTGCTTGCACCTCTGCACCCATATGGAGTGCAAAGACACTGCATCCGGTTTGAAGATCCATTGCACTCCGCCTCGCCTCGCAGCATCAATCCAAAGAGCCACACTTGCAAAGTCTGCTGTCTACAAAGACTCAGCCCTGAGCTGTCGATTCCTAATCCGTTTTGCTGTGTTCACACGGAGCTCAAAAATGATACGGTGGTAGACCCCATCACCTCACACATTGCACGCCAAATCTGATTCCGACGAGCACACCGGGCTTCTGGCCAAAGAGTATGTGTGGTCGAGCATACCATCTGGCAGTCGATAGGTTTGGGGAGCAGTAGACCTGAGGTTATTGAGAGAAGTGCACAAGAAATATGAATAAAGCCAGGCTGCCCCGGGCTCCCAAAAGTCGTGACCTTTGTCTCGATCGTTCGACTCCAGGAAAACCCCGGTGGCCAACACCATCCACACCTTGCGCAAAGCGAAAGCCTGGACCAGTCTACCCAAGAATATCCTTTGCGAAGCACCCATGACCTCTTTTGCGAGTTTGACGCGGCATTTCTCATTTCGCCTTGTGCGCACAGCACTTGCCAAGCGAAAGAACGCCGGTCAAGCTCACCTTCACTCACACCCTGTCAAGTCAGATCGGGCTTGTCGGCAGGGCTTTGGTCTTTCACTGATTTGATATGTTGAAGATACAAGCGTGCTTGCTTGGCACTCTTGCAAACACAAGCCAACTGGCGAAACAGGTCCTTACCATGAAACCAAAGTTGGATAAGTTGGCCATGGGTACATTGCCGCTAGAGTGTAATGCAGGCTTTAGGTCTGAAAGGCCAAGAAGCCCAAGACCCTGACCCCCTGCGGTTTGGGGCAAGATTCTTGGCATCCAGCCGCGGTGATAGCGCTGCAAGATTCGAAACGCACCAATGGAGGTTTGTGGCAACTAGCTGCAGCATGTCATAAGCTTCTCGCGCGGATTCAGAGCGCCGTATTCCAAGGTTGGCTATACCAGAGAAGCGGACGCCAAACAAATGCAACACCATAAAGACACTTCGCCACTGGTTCACAAAACTGAAATGCCAAATTCGCAGCAAATGTGCTGCAGTTGTTGTGCATCAGCTGCTCAGCTCACTGCTAGTCGCATGCTTTAGAAGGAAAGTGGTACGCAAAGCACATGCTTGCAGCTTCAAGTCGAAAGCTGCATGTTTTTACCCGATTTCTCATCATGATGGTCGGCACAGATCAGCGTGTACCAAGATTGGAATCCCTGTCACCTCCTCGCGGTGAACCCAACATGCATGAGAGGTCAGAGCACAATCGTTTGGAGTCGTGCTGTTTCAGATGGCGTCAGGAAGAGAATGTAAGCTACAACCTGCAAAGAAGTTGGAACCAGCTGTTGTAGTCAGAAATCGTGAAGCTGAACAGATTCTCTACTCTATTGTGGTCATCATTTCAAGCCAAGCAACCTCAAAAGCATGATGCGTTGGCAATGAGTTCTAGAGGCTGGGAGGCTGTGAATCATCTCAAAAGAGTTCTGCCGAAGAGACACGTGCAGTGCATTCTGAGACAAGCTCACACGTGTTTGTGTGCGCACGCTCGCACTTCATATGTTGCTCCGGTTTCAGCTTAGACCCGGGCCGAGTACCACCAAGTACCGTGGAAGGCAACATCCCACGTGTCATCCCATTTCACTGCGGGCTCCTGCATTCGAGCGAAATGGAAGCAAACTGCGTGTTCCTTTTTCCCTGGAACTGTCTGTCCTTCGTGTAGTTGTACACTTTCCATCCCTCGGTTTTGCAATATCCCTTTGTCGCATTCCACAAGGCTGAAAATACCAGCTGCAACCTGGTTTCATTCTCATATCGATCATGAACTAATGTTCCCTGCAAGTCTCGAGCCTCAGTCCAGCCACCCAAGTGCCACCCAAGTGTTTCGAGCTAACACACATCCCGCCTGCAGCCACTGCTCAAACAGTCCTTCGAAGTCTTTCCGCGAGCCCTTGCGCTGAGCCGCGACTGCACCAGCCCTTCGAGGCTTGCAAACCTGGCACGGGGCTGGACCATGAGCAAGGGCCTGCCACTCGTTGCAAGGAGCCTCTCTCCACTGAATAACCAAGTCCTGGAAAGGATGCACAATTAATATACATGAATATCGCATGTGGCCCATGGCATTCACTGCACAGCCCCGATCCTCTCGTCCAGCCGCAGCATGCTGCAAGGCATCTTGTACGCTCTCATCGATCTCCTGCCACAATCTCAAGCACGGCTGGTCACGGCCGCATGAGTGTAATGTACGGCACCTCCGCCATGATCTCATCTGCTGCTGCATTTCCTTGCCAGCGTCTCTTGGAAGCTCAATGAAACTGAAAATAAGATGAGCCGAGATTCTCTCTGAAGATTGGTCGACCATCTGGCTGTCCTGCAGCGCACAGCTCATCAGGTGCCAATTGCCATCATTGCGATGGATGCTGAAGTCTCCTCTGCATCCGTCTGGTCCCAAGTCTCCTTTGCATCCGTCTGCTCGCAAGTCTCCTTTGCATCCGTCTCGTCCCCGTCTGGAAGACAACCTTGAGGCCACATTGGTCAAACAACATTGTTTGCGCATTACACTATTACATGTATACCGGGACTGGTCTCTAAGCTGTCTGACAAGACACATATTATATACATATCATGTCACAACTCTCTAAGCAGTGACAGGATGACTGTCTGTGAGCGCTGTGATCCTGCGACACGTGTTGTAGATAACATTGGGCAAGATCAACAAGCGGAAGAAGATAAAAAGCGGAGCTGCGGAAACCGATTGATAGCTCGAGACAAAACAGACGAGCTGAAGAGGAGAGCCGTGTGCCAGCCACATGTTGCCAGCAAAGAGGAGTACTGTACCTCTCCGCCAAGTGCCTTGCTTTGGGAGAAGCGTAAAGCAACAGAATGCCAAGAAGCTCTCAGCTTCTCCATGACCATCTTCCGCCGAATCCTGCATATCAACCTACTCAAAGGAATCACTCGGGAAGACCTTCTTAAGAAATTCATCTGTACCATGAACCTCAAAAATGTACAGTAAGCATGGTGAGAGCAGGATCCTTGGCTTCAGCATTTGGTGGAGCCTGCTGATGAACCATAGCCGACCCAAGGTGCGGAAGCTAGTTTTCGGATTTGCATCAACATCAACGTGCATATTTTGGTCTTCAATTATGCCTGTGCTTTTAAGAATGTGATTGCAAGCCCCAGCAATTTATCTCTAAGCTTGCAAGAGCCAGCCCGGCATTTTCTCAATGTGCTTCCAAACCTGCATCTCAGTGCCCCATCGAAGCATCGGGACTAACAAGCTCAGAGGTTGGTGCGCTCAAATTATGTCAACATACCTGGGTTTGAGCCGGGTGCTTTCGTTTACAGTCACATCAATTCAACTGATCCAAGAGATTAACTACACACCCAAAGGCCACACCCTGAAGCAAAACCATGGGACCTTGATTGGGTGATTCAGGCATTTGTTTCAATACACTCATGTACAAGGCAGGTCAGCGGGCTGATCTTTCCGGGACGCATACTTCGTGAAATCTTTGCTGCACGCCACGTTTGTGGGACGAGTTAAGTGAATGCGGCAGCCTGCCCTCCAGTAGACATCCACCGAAACGTTGCAAGGCTTAGACATTCAGTCTCAAGAAAGCACGGTTAAAGAAAGGAAGACCGTGAAGCAATTGTAATAGCGGCAAGCTACTTCCGTTGGGGTCTCTTGGAAGTGACTGCCGCAAGCACTCATCGCCAGAAGGTGCCCAGCAACAAGTGGTGCCTACCGTGCATGAGAAGGGATGCATGAAGGGATGCAATGCAGTTTACTTCCGTATCAATGCCAAAGCTCTGGAAAGAAAAAGAAAGCCTCGATCAAATTCTGCAAAGGCAATCACGCAAAGCCAAGCGATGACTCCCCGCCTCACAGCGGCCCAGGCGGCCGGGGCCTTGATTCAGTCCGAAATGTGGCATTCACAATTGTCTCAGCCCATGAAACCAAATCTCTAAGCCTAGCCTTAAAAAATGAGGTCACGCGCCTCAACCCCATTTTCCAGTGGTCTTAAGGAGTCTCCAAGCCAGGCCTACTGACTGCAAAACTCCTGAAGCCAACCCCATCAAGTTACTCTCCAAAAGCCTCCTTACTCCTGCGCACCTGTGTCCGCCTGTCTAAACAACCGACTCCCTCTGCATCAGCATCTAGCTTCATTCGCATGCGTAAAGTAAAGCGTGGCGCAACGGCCAAGGCCGTGAAGTACCACCCACTGAACCCAGAGTCGTACTACGCTGACTCTCCGATCCCCCCCACTCAGCTTCTCCATTGATTTATGCACATCGTCCGTGCAGTTTGCTTGGGGTCTGCACATGAAGCGCGTACATGAAAACAAATTTAAATTTGGAGCACGCATCCGCAAAGGGCGACTGTAGAGATACCTACACGGATACGCTATGCGCCAGTCAAAAGTGTCAAAACTCTGCAACCTCCCAAATTCTTTGGGAGGGCGACGAGGGGCATGATTGTATTCCTGCAAAGGATCCAACTGTTGTGTTTGCTACAGGGGCAGTCCAGCGGTTGTCGATTCCGTCGTGGACTATATACACCTTTTGCATACCGCTACGAGCATACTTCTGCTGCATAAGCTTCAACTGCTGCTCTTGCCCTCAGAATTCGGAGGGACGTGCTGCTCCATTGGCACGGGTTCTGAAACAGTGCTAGGCTCGGTTCCAATAATGACTAATGACTAATCCCAAATACAAGTGAGGTGTTCGTTTCATGCACAGACTGCACGGGTGCTAACATTACAATAGCAGCAATTCGCAAAGTTCCTCTCCGTACTTCAACTAAAGGTTGTGCACGTGGTTTCGCGCCGCAAACGCACGGCGCTCGGGACCACAAGTTCTAGATACAAGTGGGGCCTTCATGTACAGCTCGCTGTTGCTCCGCAAACGCTGGAGGCATTGGACTGGTGCCCCTTTCTGCGTTGGACTGGCCCTTTTGCATGTTGCGGAGGCCTTGCCAAAACCATAAACTCTAAGCAGTGTTGACCCTTTTCCCAAACCTCCACTTCCTAAGAACCCGAAACAGTGTTGCATGATCTGGCTCCGGAGCCTAAACATGTGCCAAACAAGTGGGAGAAATGCGAAAACTGCCACTGATTTCCATACAAAGCCCAAATTCTTGTCTTTGCTCAGGTTTGCGAACAAATACTTCCGCTTTCTCGGACCACATCCGGATTTGATTCCACCCAGAACCACAGCTGGTCCGGAGTAGATATGGACACAAGAAAGGTCTTGACGCTCATGATGCAGTGCACTCTTCTAGCCAATCAAAACGTGTCCTCTCTACTTTTTTGGCTTTGTGATCCTTGTTTGTTTTCGCGTGCTTTCTCCATTTTGGGGCGAAGATCCTTCCCAACTTCCCTCCCCCCTTCCCCTGCTTCTTTTCTGGGCCGCTTCTTATTACTTGATATTTGTGTTGAATCAATGTGCTTGACACTTCCCCGCTTCTTTATAGAGCCATTGTTCGGCTTTGTGATGACCTCAACACAAACCCAAACCCCTGAACGAACCGTAATGAATCCAAAGCCGACCCTTGACCCACCCGTAACCAATAAACCCACCCTAAACCGCCACTAAAACTAGAACCAACCAACAAAAAACCTACGCCAACCCTAAAGAAGCCCTAAAGAAACCTGAAACCAGCAAGCCAATCCTAACCCTGCACTAAACAAGCACAAAACCATCCCTGGCCCACCTCAAACTCAACCCTAGCCACCCAAAACCTACCCTAAACCCTAAACCCCTAAGCTGAACCAACCCTAAGCCAACCGTGAACCCATCTCAACGATGCTGGGCATGTTGACAACGATGCTGAGAATTTGACAGTGCTGGTCAAAACCACTGCAGAACCAAGGGAGTAAAAAAGGACCTGTAGGGTTGGTTTGGGATGAGTAGGTTGGTTCGGGGAGTGGTTCGGTGGGTGCAGGGTGGCAAGTCAAAACGCCAAGCCAAACAACTTAGAACATCCAAAAGGTAAAATGGCCTCCTTTGTTTGATCAAGGACTGTCGGCATGGACCCCTGACGTATACCCCTACATGGTTATGGTTTGAATGAGTGTCTCTGGCCAAGTGTTGGGACAGGACCACACCCGTATGTCAGATCAGTCTGAGAAAGCCCCTAATATAACGCTCTTTCAGTTACGATTCTTTCGTGACTGCCAAAAAATGCCTGAAAGGTAACGGCCCTGAGACCTGGGCATGGGACTGGCGAAACTTGGCATGGTAGGTACGCCCTGCGATGCAATCAGCATGCGGCTGTCGATTGAATGATTCCTCTGCCAATCCCTCATGTCAAGGTCATCTGCGCCACAAGTTTGAACCGCGGCATGCGCCGAAGGCCTGGAGGCTCAGCCTTGGGCAAACACATGGTATGTCCGTATCTGCGACTGGCTTGCCCTCTAAGGCGCTAAGGCGCTAAGGCGCTGGCGGTGGCAACCTGGGACAATCGCGAAGCTCAAGCTGGAGGCATGAAGCTAAGACCCTGACATCGCTGGAGGAGGCACAACCACCGGCCTTACGTCTTGCAAGGCCTTCAATTTTGACATGCCTCAAAGCGTGCCATTCCACTCAGGCACAGACCCAGCAGGCCTTCCACACGAAAGAACATTGCATCTGACACGTCACCATGCAACATGCAAATGTCTGGCCTCGCGTCCCAAGATGCTTTCGCCCAAGGAGGCGCCAACGCCCCCTGTCAGACGACTGAATAAGACAAGCTGCATCTGCAAATACGTAGCACGTCCGCACTGCTCGTAGCCAAATGGAAAAAGAACCCCAAGCCTGCGCTAACGCTGCTCCTGCGCATGCAGCAATCCCCATGCGGCAACTTCTGCTAAGAATCTGCAAGCTCAAACCGCAAGAAATAAAGATTGAACGCAGCCCACGCCTTGCAACATTGGCCTGACATCAAGGCTTGACGACTCATCCAAACAAACTTCTCACGGAGCCTTTGCAGGGTGCATGCGCCAAAGACTGGGCCTGGCGGGCGAGATCAGACCTGGATGCAATCAACTGGACAAAAAAGGTGTAGAGAAGATTTACAGCGAGGTGTTTGTTTCCTCTTTCTTTCCCGATCTGCCAGATTGCGAAACTGCCAAACGTCAATCTGCTGTGAGGCTGCACACGAGAATTCAGGCGGTGTGGCTAGCAGCAGGCCTTGAGCAAATGACGACATGTTTCTGGGCAATGCAAGATGCACGAGTACCCAAGTTTGGCCGGCATGTAAACAACAACCTATGAACAAGCATGTCAACAGCTTCCCCGCATGAGCTTGCCCACTACTAAAATGCTCGTTGATGGACACTAAATGTCATGGCGTGGGTCGACAACAGAGCGCTTCTGTCTAAATGACTGCATCAGTGAAGCGCAACTTTTTGGATTGAATGGTGACATTTGCTGATGAATCTGTGTCGAGAACTATCGTCAAGGAGAAACCGCTTCTGGCATCAGCAGCTAGTTCAATAGCAGAAAGTGTTTGAGATCGTGCACATTGGCTTGCTACAAACTGCTTCCCTGGATGCTGGCCACGCCCGGCTGATCATTCCCTGCAGCCTAAAGTACAACACTCAAACAAACTCAGACTGCAAAAGCAAGCTTCACGAGCCCTCGACGAGGCCCAGAGTGTACCAGTGAAATTAAGCTGCCAAGTGGGTTGTCTGCCACGCATTGTGGTTTCACCTACGTGAGGGAAACTGCCTTCCCATCTCCAACTCCTGGGACACCGGGCGGAGGCAACGGCGGCCTCACTAGCAGCAAGTATCAAATCACAGGGACAGGGCTGTACAGCAAACTTGAGCATGCGACGCTGGCGGTGGTGGCAAGCTCTCTGCCGGCCTGCAACAGATCTGCCGGCTTTGGTTTGCGAAGCGTGTGCTGAGGGCAATACGGCATCCCAGCAGCAATGACCCTCAGCATATGCAGTTGATGACCCCAAGGTTGATGGAACCCATTAATTCACGAGCATGGCCATGCTTTTCACAGAACTCAGGTCTCAGCCGAACCGTCTCTTCACAGAACGACTCCGCTTCCACCACCTCTCAGCTCGCTTCAAACCCATTTGTTACCAGCAATCTTCCGACCTGCTCCGGCTGCCCGCAAAGCTCCAGCTGGCACTTGAAGGCATCTCGCCTTACCTCAGCAGCACCATAGGCAGAGGGATGGGGCATCTCCCCGTGTTCCGGGCATCTAAGAACGAAGCAATGACTCTGGCACCGGTCTTGGACTCGACGGATCTCTGCCAGGAACCGTCTGCCAGGACCTGTGCCCGATTTCAGATTGAATGCTAAGCCAAGTGCAATCAAAAGACGGCCATAAGAAACTGCCCCGCCTTGTCCGCTAGATGCAGCGGAATGTCAAAGGTTATGCTCTCCTGGATCGCCAGATTCCAGATTGGCAATCCCACCCTTCCGAAGAGAAGAGTCTTCGCCTCATCAGTTGAGCCGCCAATCGCGAGTGGCGCACAGCCACCAGCCGAAGCGCAGCCTGCAAATGAAGCACCGTTTAAGCATCCCAACATATTCTAACCTGCATAAGCCTTCAGGTTTCTCAGTTTCAGGTTTCCACTTGTTTCCGTGCCTCCAGCCACCTGCATACGAGCAGCTTGAGCAGCTGCAGCAGCACGGGCCACCGAAGCCGAAAGAGCCACCTCCTGGACGCACTGACAATCAGACAGAAAGCCCGAAAGCCCTGCACAGCCTGAAAACTACTCCGAATCCCTGCACTGTAAACAGCATGCACAAAAGGGCAACTCCAGCCCTTGCTCAGGGAGAAAAGAATATCCCAGGCCTGATGACCCCCGCCAGTTGTTACTCGGCCTCAGATCGTCAATTGAGCGTGCCTCAAAATCAAAGACCTAGGGTTGCGCAGGTTTTAGTGTTAGTCTCCATTGAGCGAGTTGCCATTGTACATTTTTGACCCACAGCCAAATGTGACGCCCTGTCAACTGCGATCAACTACTGAGCAGCGCACCGGAAGGACCAAGAACCTCCAGAGTTTCAATTTGCAAAATGCTTTTCGAAGAGACAACCCCGAAGCATGAACAAGACTGACAGTGGGCCACTGCATCATGCCGGCAATACTTCGATCCACAGTAAGTGCAAACGATGCCCCTGAGCTATTTTCGTTTCTGGCTTCAAAAAATTTGGTATGAAGGCCAGAGGTGAGACTTTGACAGCCGCTGCTAGAAACGGGAATCTGAAGACTCCAAAAGATGATTGACTGAGCGCATGGGTCCCGTTCTCGCAGGCACAGCCAATTCCAAATTGATGCAAACCTGAATGCAAACGATTGGCAAGCCTCCCAGCTTCTCTGGGGAGTCCTTTCCAAGGAGCAAAAAAAAATCCCAGCAAGAAGCCAGAAGACAGGGGCACTGATCCGCACATCGGCGGCGTCATGCAATGGGTAGCATGGCGATAAGAAGCAATGTGCCAGCTCCATCTCACAGGTTTGTACCCGTTTTTGTCTAGAATGGCCACATTGCGGTCGGCGGTTGCTCAGGCATCGCTCGACATCGGGACAGAGGCATAACCTAGGAAAGCTTCGAGGCCAGACATCGCAGCGCCACGTCCGAGGCCGTCGCCACGCCGTCTTTGGAGTGCGACAGCTGCCAGGAGAGCACACAAGGCACCCACAAGTCCTTGGTGCGCATGGCGTCGGTGTCTGGTTTTCGCTACCTCGGTGCCCGAACCAGCAGCAGCCACATGTTCTGGTTGCCAGGAGAGACCTGCAGGCCCCCAGCTCGGCTCTGGTGAAGACCCTCGAAGCCCCGCCTTTCTGTTCCGCCCACAAACTCTGCACCTGCGCTACGTACACAGTATACACAGAATTCAAAGAGTACATCGAAACAAACAGGGCCATGATGTTCCACATGCCTCTCTCAGTGGAACTGGACCTCTTTCCTTGGCCAGCTGAGAGGTGCTTCGCTTCACCTTCCGACCAAAATCTGCTCATTCAAATTTAGCCTGGAAATTTAAAGGTATGGCAGAGCTTCTTTGAAACCTTGTGACGCCCTTCCCGGCCTTTCTAGGTCTCTCCTTTTGCGCGGCCTTTCTAGGAGAATCCAGGAGCTCGACGCCAACTATCTTCACAGGACCTGCAAGCTCAAGTGTGGCAATTGCCGTGCACGCGGCCCTGAGTTGTGAGCCGTGGGTCTTTTCTCGGCCATCCTGTCAGAGCGAATCAGCAAGTCAATGCCGAGCCCTTTCCACAGCCCACCTCCAAGCCCCTAAACGCATCGATGGAAAGCAGGTACTTCATCACCTGAGGCTTTGTGCAAACTCGTTTTCAGGCAGCCCGACTCAGCGAGGCATCCTAGTGTTAGGCCATCCTGGCATTCAAAGAAGGAGATTCAATTGGCAACGCAGGGCAATGTTGTCAAGAGTCCTCAAAAGATTCAGGGCATTAGATATGCATATGTGCCTTGAACCTTGGTTGTACTGAAATACCTTGCTGCTGCGGAACGCCTTTGAATGCCATGAGGTGTTTTTTCTGCCTGCAGGCGATGGCGTTAGCAGGATCAATATCGAACATTGGACCAAAGCTATTTGCAACCATGTCGTTTCACGAAGGGATACGTGGAGTCCGCTGTCCAGTTCAGATTGGCATCCCGTGGCTCTGCCCTCCAGCACGCCGCTTTTTTGTTCTGATACCAATGAAAAGAACTTGGTAGGCAAACCGATATTCCGAACATCGGACCTTAGGAATACGCTGCAATGTGTCACTTGATGGTTTCTTAGGGGGTCGTTCTCGGACCCAGGTCCAATTCACATTTGTTAGAATTCAGAATTTGCGCGTTTGTTTCTAGATCAGTCGAAGCTAACTGCCACAAAAATCCAGCAGGCGCACCTCGGACATTGCTGCCATTACGCCGCTATGTTTGTGCTGGGTCAAGATCTTTCCTGGGCACCGCTGTTTGTTTGAATCAGGGAAACGCTAGTCTTCTTGGGGGAATAGGACGCACCATAAAGGCTCACTAGCGCCGCACATCACAGCCTCAACCAGTGAGGCGACGGGGCTCAGTCCGCATAATGTAGTAACGTCGCCTCGCAGAGGGCCCTCCAAAAACCCCTGCGAGCAGCAGGCCCAGCCCGATCGGCACGTGCGACAGGCCAGGGGCATTGAACTTCCTCGCGCGAGATCCACCGGGGTTGGGCTTGTGCCGGTCGAATGCTTGCACGACCTCCTCAGTGAAGAGTTTCTCACAAACTGCGGGTGGACGGGCACACTCCGAACGGCCTCTTCTTTCTCAACTGTGGCCACAACCTGTACCAGGTTTCATTCTCGTCGATATCGATACTTCATGTACACTTTGCCGACTTTCTGCGTTTCCAGACGTGCGTGCGGGGCAACTGAAAGCGTGTCTCCTTCGGAAAATTCACTCCCGTTTGCTCTGTGGGGTGGCGCCCGCCGGTGCGTGCAAGTCATGACTCTCGATATTACGATCTCCCGTGATCGGCCGCCTTGAACGCCCAGTGCGACCTACAGACGGCACACCGCGCGTTGTAGCGCGCCATCTTCGTGCTCAACGCGACGTCGTGGCCTCCAGCGACTCCATACAGCCACTCGCCACCTCGTTTTCGTGCACCGTCTCTGCCAGGGATGGTTTTGGCGTTCATCCCTAGCTGGGCCCTCCCTTGCGGGTCTCCCCAAAGCTGTTGGACACATCCTTCTGTCTTTGTCCGCCCAGCCTTTTGTAGGTGCAGATGCAAGCAAACGGCTACCCATTACCCTATAACCTATATCCAATGTCCCTCTTCTTGGCCTGTGACTGCAGCTACTCAAAACACTCGAAGGGACAGCTGCTCTTGCTATGGTGTCCTCCCCGCTGAGGCGTTGTGGACACCGGTCAAGAGTCTGTGCACGCCCTTCTCTCGTAATACGTGCCTCCTCCTCCTCCTCCTCCTCCTCCTCCTCCTCCTCCTCCTCCTCCTCCTCCACATAAGTGTGACTTTAAAGGGTGCAACAGAAAGGTGGTATATGCGCGCATCCTCCGTTCCACGCTGTGGTAGGTTGCTCGGAGCGGGCTATGTCTCTGTCTGACGTGGATTTGCTCTCTGAAGCTTCGAAGCCACCCTCTGGGTCGCTGGTATCAATTGTGTTCTTGTCTTCGCTTCAGGTTCTTTGCAGCGCCTTGTGTTCGGCAGCTCCTTGGCTGAAACAGGTGACCAAGTTGCAGTCGTTGAAAGGATGCTCTGCTTCGCGGTGCAAACTGTCCGCGCTGTCAATATCACGGGCTAACATTCCTGGCATCATGGAAAATAGAGTTTTTGCAGCGAGGCCGAATCGGCCACCACGGACTCCACATTGCGGAAAACTGGAACCACGCTGCCGCAGACTTTGAGCTCCCAGCCGCATCAGTAACATGGAAGTGCATCGGCTGCGTGATCTGCACCTGCCATCAGAATGCTGCTGTAGGAAACCAGCATGATCAGCGCATAAGAATCCGGCAACCATCTCGTCAAAAGGTCCGCGGTGGCCTGGTTGTCCGCATGGTTTTCCGTGTCTTTTCCGAAAATCATGTACAAGTGCAACACAAGTGCGTGTTGGGTGGGTGAGTGGGTGAGTGGGTGAGTGGGTAAGTGGGTGAGTGGGTGGGTCGGTGAGTGGGTGAGCGGGTGGGTGAGTGGGTTGGTGTGTGCGTGTGCGTGTGCGTGTGCGTGTGCGTGTGCGTGTGCGTGTGCGTGTGCGTGTGCGTGTGCGTGTGCGTGTGCGTGTGCGTGCGCGTGCGCGTGCGCGTGTGCGTGCGCGTGCGTGTGCGTGCGCGTGTGCGTGCGCGCGCGCAGGCGCGTGCGCGCGCGTGTGCGCGCGTGCGCGCGTGCGCGCGTGTGCGTGTGCGTGCCGCGGGCCTTGCGCGTGCGCAGAGCGCGCGCAGTCGCGGTGTCGCGCGTGCGCGCGTGCGCGCGTGGCGCGCGCGTGCGCGCTCGCGCGTGCGGTGTTTGTTGCGAGGTGTGTGTGTGTGTGCGCGTGTGTGTCGCGTGTGTGAGTGTGCGCGTGTGTGTGTGCGTGTGTGTGTGTGTGTGCGCGTGTGTGTGCGCGTGTGTGTGTGTGCGCGTGTGTGTGCGCGTGTGTGTGCGCGTGTGTGTGCGCGTGTGTGTGCGCGTGTGTGTGCGCGTGAGTGTGCGCGTGTGTGTGCGCGTGTGTGTGTGCGCGTGTGTGTGCGCGTGTGTGTGTGCGCGTGTGTGTGCGCGTGTGTGTGCGCGTGTGTGCGCGCGTGTGTGCGCGTGTGTGTGCGCGTGTGTGTGCGCGCGTGTGTGTGCGCGCGCGTGTGTGTGCGCGTGTGTGCGCGCGTGCGCGTGTGTGTGCGCGTGTGTGTGTGCGCGTGTGCGCGCGCG